ACTTTAATCTCATTCAGTCTGGGGTGAGGCCTGAGCTTCTCCATTTCCAGCAAGCTTCAAGGACTGTCGCTGTCTGAGGACCACATTTTGAGTAGTAAAGATTCAGGGACTGCCAATGAAAGAAAGGGTGGCCTTTCTCTCAAAACTGCCAGGGACTGTACCTGAAATCTGTTAGCATACAATGATCTTATTTACGTGTCCCTCTCCCCTTACCAGATCCTTTTCTTCAGGGCAGGGTTTAGATCTTTGTCATCTGTAACATCTAAACTCAGTGCTCAGCACGTTAACACAATAAATGGATTTTGAATTGAATATTAAATACCATGGTGTCCTTAGGGTCCAAGCTGTGGAGCCAGTTGAAGGTGAGACATTGCTATGATGTGGGCCTTCTGCCACTTCCAGTCATAAATTCCAATTGGATGGGGTCCAATGCGAAGCTATGTGTGACCAAAGCCGCCTCTGTAGGGGGTAGGGTCAAAGCAGGCCTCTGGAATATTAATAATTCTGAGCAGTGATCACAGCTATGATATTTACAGATCCGTGAAGCACAAGGGACAGCCTGAGGTTGTGCACACAGCTATAGACTCCAAGGACTTGCTCTGCTCCAAATGGAGCATGTATATTGCCCAACGTTGCCAAAAGCCGTACGGTTCATTAGCTTTTACTATATAGAGAAATGCGCCAGGCCTGGCGTGAAAATGACATGACAAAGCACATTTGACAGCAATGGTCAGAGGAAAAAGCACAGTGGGAGCGGAAGAGCTCTATGGGACTCTGCTCATGGCTTTGGAACAAGAGAAAAATACCTCTGCCTCTCCATGTGGAGGCCCAGGCTGGTTGGAATCTGACAACGACTTATTACTTTAGAAACTTTTTTCAGGGGTTTGGTTTCTTCCCCTGGATTCTCCTTCCATGGTGATGGATGGTTTTTTCCCTGAGTATTTTTTGATGCTATGACTATTTGTGTGGTTTGTAAGTTACATATTGGGAGAGAGATCCAGAGAAAGAAAGGAACAGAGAGAGAGAGAGAAAGAAACAGAAAGAGACAGAGAGAGACCCAGAGAGACAAAGAGATAGAAAAGGGGAGGAAGAAGAAGAAGAAACACAATTTTAAGGAGATGGGAAAGAGTAGAGAACAGCAGGGAAAGGAAATGGGGCGTAAGACAAGGATGGAGGGTGGGAAGACCCCAGGCCAGGGCTCCCTCTTCTTTTTGATTCTTTATAGTTAAGGATGATCAAAGTACCCTACAAGAGTACTTGCATAATATTCCTCTTAAGCCCTTCAACAACTAACGTTTTTGGTGTCATCTTTCAGCTCTAATAACTCATTGTCATCTCTCACCATGAAATCTCACCTTTGTGTTTTTTTCTGCTACTATCACTCTTTTACTTTCTCTCAAAGGCTAGCCTATCTGGCTCAGGGGCATTTACATTTTATGGGTTACAACTTTCTCAGGCTACTAGAACCCAACTATTTCTGTCCCTACCACACTTAAATCTCTCTACCCAGCTTCCGCTCATGCCTTCAGCTCTCTTCTGCACACGCAGCCTGTGATGAGATCTCATCCTGCACTTCCCACACCTCCCTACCTAGCCAAGGTATAGCTCCCGTCCGGCATGTTACAAATAGCTCAGTGTTTCCCAAAGTGTGTTCCCTGGACCATCTGCTTCAGAATCTCTGGGGTGAAGAGAGAGGAGAAGGAAGAGAGATTTTTTCTACATGCAGATACCTGGTCCCAGTCCCCCCAACCCTGTTGAACCAGATTCAGGCGGAGGCGACTTTTGAAAGGTGTATTTTTAATCCTCGACCCAGACGATTCTGATACACAGGACAGTTTGAGAACCTCAGCAAGACCAGCCCTTCAGGCTTACCAAATTCTTCCTCCTTCAAGACCCTGCTCAAAAGATCAGAGACCTCCTCTCCCCTGACACACAGTGTCATGTCCAGGGCCTGAGCCACGCACCTTACACAAATCACTTACATTCTCCAGTCCTACCCTTTCTCATCTAAAAGCAGGATGTGGCATCTAAGTCATGAATGGAAACAGGGACAGGACAGGTAACATATATACAGGAGTGCAGCTGGCCTGATGAGCATTAGTAGAAGCTGGAGGCTGCATACTCTCATTAAGGCAGCAGCTGCTCCTCCATGGCAGTCAACTGTAGCTGGGTGGCAATGCCACCCAGAGAGGCCAAGTCTTCTGAATTTTTAAGGGATTCCAGAAATTTGGATTTTTGTGTAAATTTTTCCAATTTTTAACTTCTGGCTGATTTTTTTAACAGGCTGAACAAAATACATGTGGAGTACATTCAGGCTGAGTCCACGTTTAGAATCTCTGGATGAGAGTTCCCTAGGGTAGCCTTCAGCATCAGGGGTCTGGGATATGTTGACCCTGAACCTCTCTGGCTTAATAAGTTGTTCTGTAACTAGTTGGAGCTTCTCTGCTGTTCCATCTCCTTTCCAGGAAAACCAAAGTTTCTGACTACCCCTCAGCCCCAATAAAGGATGACCTGATTGCAGGTGCCAGACGAGTGGTTCTCAAACTTCAGCACACATCAGAATCAACTGGAGGGTATGTTAGAACACAGATTGCCAGGCTCCATTCTCAAAGTTTCTGAGTCAGAAGATCTGAGGTGGGGCCCAAGAATTTGCATTTTTAACAAGATCCCAGATGTTGCTGATGCTGCTGGTCCAAGCTTGGCACTTTGAGAGGCACTGCTGTAAAGCACTACTCACCACCCATAACGTTGTCTTTCTCCTTAGATCAGCACTCAGTCCTTAGCTTCTCTCTCATCCCTGAGTCACTTCATACGGCAGTCACTGTGGGCTTGCTCCCATCATCAAGTCCACTTTGACAATCATAACTGTCGTTTTTGAGTGTTTACTATGTGACAGCCATTCATCTAAGCACCATACTGTATTAACTTTAACCTTTAACATAACCCTATTAGGAAGGCATTATCACCCCCAATTTCTACATGAGGGAACTGAAGCCCAGAGAAGTTAAGTAATTTGCCCAAAGTTACACAGTTAGTGGGTGACAGAGCCAGAATCCAAAGCTAGAAGATCTGACCCCAGAGCCTGTTTATCATAGTATTTATGGACCAAGCTGGGGCTCTTCTAAGAGTGAAAGAAGACACTATTAACAATTATGCCTGGACAACAAATGTAAATTGGGACATAAGGTCGCCCTGTGTATTCTGTCCTTTCAGATGTACTCTTTGAGTGGTCCACAATTTTGTGAAAAGGGCAAAAATTTTGCAGCCAAATTCCATCTTAATTGAGCTAAAGCATGCAAGAACCTAGTTCACTGCCTGCGACATGGTAGCAACTCCATGGATGTCTGTTTCTTTCAGTGAAGCTTCTAAATCCCTACTAGGGAATATGGACAAGTGTAATTAATATGTGGCCCATATTCTTGAAGCCCTCACAATATAGTTGATATAAAAAGGAACATCAATGAGAACTCTTAAAAGATCATACTAAGACTAAGAATCCAGGGCTGAGCATAAGAGTTCAGAGATGGTGACTCCCTCAGGTTTTAAATTTTTAAGAGGGAGTAGGGTTTGAACTGAGTCTTGAAGATTGAGTAGGAGATGAGAAGGCTAGAATTGAGGACAGCTAAAGAAAAAGAGCTTATACAGCAGCTACAGAAAGACTAAGAAGTAGTTCAGGGGCTGAACTCTTGGATGTTTCAATTCCATTCCAACCTTTACCAATACCCCAGACAGGACAAAACAAGAAAATCCCTTTTTCTCTCTTTTTTCAGTTTTGTATATACTCTGTCATTTTTTTGCACCCACTCACAAGCCCCTAGAGAACCCGGATGACGACTTTGTCTTCTCAGGCACAGAAGTACAGACAGAAATTTCTGAGGAGAATTGGCCTGTGGTTTTTGAGAACTTCTGAATTTAGGGATTTTGAACAAAATCCTGCCCATCACAATGGTTTTTACAGTAAGAGCAACAACTGCTGGGTACTTAGTTCCCCTGATTTATGTGAAAAGGAAGGACAATTTCATCATACTTTTTCTCAGTCCCAAGTGTGGGGAATTCTAAACAGGCTCAACACTACCCTCTAGTGTACAAAATGGGCAGATGTGGGGATCAGAGAGTGTTCACAACAAACTCAGCTGGAAGAAGACTGGGGAAGGTATTCTTGTATCTGCAGAAGGTCCATGGATTAATAAATATGCAAGTGCTCTAAGAAATATGCAAATGCTTCCCCAATAAAGAGGTCCAAGACAGTGCTTCCCATAGAATATAATCTGCGAAGCACCAGTGCCATGTGGTATTGCATTCACACACCCCCTTCAAGGGTCCTTGGTTAAATAAGCTAGGAGTCCTCTGCACATCGTGCTCCCTGTTACAGAATCAGAGTATTTAGTAAAGGCTCTGGGAAGTTATGCAGTGATGAAATTCCATTTCCCACACATATTTGACCACTGAACCTTTTTCTGTTTTCTTTTCTCATAAATCCATGTCATCCCCTGGGACAACTGCTTGTGCAGCAGACTTTGGACAATGCTAGTGGAAAAAACACAAAGTTCCTACCTTAAGCTCCACATATGATGAAAGAAGGGCTGTCCCATAGGCTTTGATGGCTCCACTTTACTTGCAAAGATTGAACGCAATAGTAAATCAATAGAGCTGACCAAGGTACAAAAGGGCAAAAGAACAGGGTGATGACTGAAACCAAATATCTAGTCAATGGTGCCAAGGACTGGAAGATCCCACAAGAGGCTGAGAGGTCATCCAGCTTCACCCCGTCCCACACTCCGTCCCAGTCTTTAGGCAGGATGTGTAACCTTCTTACGGTTCTCCCAATGCGTCATATTCACTCTGTCTGTCAAAGTTCAACTGAGGCTGAGCATAGTTCAAGTATGCCCTTCTTCAAATTTTCTCACGACTCTAGGCCTCATCGAGCACTTCCTCTTCTGACCTTCAATTAGATCATCCTTTCACTTAGTCCTCAGAAGCATATTGAACACCTGCTATACGCACAACAGGATGCTGGGAATACAGATCTGAAAAAGACAGAGAGTGCACTCAAGGAGTTTGCAATTTCTACCAGTGGAGGAAGACGTGAAGAGGGGACGACACACGCTTTGTTCTCAGGAAGACCTCAGCAGATGAAGATACACTGAGTTGCAAATACATTGTCTTGTGGAACACATCCAACAGGGTTCTCACCAAGATCACATGGAGTTCCTAGAACAAAGCCTGGCTCGTGGTAAGAACTGTGTAGATATTAGCTTTTATTGTGGTTGTTATTACTACTACTGCTATTATATATTATATTTATTTTGCATTACTTTATTCTCATTTTGCTGTCCAAGAAAATAGAAGGGTAAGATGCCATCTCACCCAAAAGTGGTTTAGTTGATGAAATTACCTTTTACTCAGTGACTGGTAAATACCAAAGCCAGCAACACTTTATTTCTCTACCTGTGAAACAATGCTACCAATATCTCTCTTTTTGGTTTATTTTATTGGTTCATCAATTCCTCCCTTTATTCATTCAACCAATACTTGTGGAGTTCCCATTATGTGCCAGATTCTATGCTAGGAATGGGGAATATAGTAATAAACAGGACAGGTATGGTCTCTGCCCTCCTGGAGCTTGCTATGTTCCAGATTTGGAAGAAGATTTAAGTAAAATTATGTTATGCGAATGTATTTTGTGACACATAGGGCTGGGTAAATGTACATTACCATTATACTTTAACAACTCATCAACAGTACTGCTGCCAAGCTTGGCCTCCAGTCTCTGGAATGGAGAATATCATTGGGCTTACTAAGCCCTGCACCTGGATTCACTGGTACTTTCAGAAATGTCTGCTGAATGAATTAATGAGTGGAGGAATTAATTAGACGTATTGTTACTGAAATTTCATTTGCTACATAAGTAAAAATCATGATGAAAAGAAGGGGATCAATAAGAACATGTACGAATTAATAAGCTCCTGTTATGTGATAAATATAATTGCTGTCTTCCTAGTGACCATGGCATTTGGTATCATATTCTCATTTTAGAGATGAGAAAAAAAGTGAAGTTCAAGGCTATTAAGTAACTTGCCCAAGGCTTCAAAACTATAAGCACAGATAGTAAAGGAACCAGTGGCCTGAGAATACACCCCATTTTCCTTCTCTTTTAAGGAGAAGTCTCATTCTTTCCCCAGACCCCATTTTTATTATTGGGGAACACAGTCTTCTTTTCCAGACTAAACTAAGTGAGAATGGATGAGGTGATGAGTTCTACCTAATGTGTCGCAGCTGGAGGTGGGTACCATGGCTATTAGCTGAAATTAGTGCCCTGAGGGCAATCATTACCAGTCCCAGCCTAATAGGAACCCTGGGCATTTCTGATAATGCAGTCTTGATTCCCTCCCACCATCTTCCAAATAAAGTGAAACAAACAACAGATTTCCTTAACACCGAAAAGCCAGTGTCTGTGCTGAGTGAGAATTGATGTAGAACTCAGTCACACAATAAGAGGGCCAGGGGGGCCTGAAATTCACCTGGTCCAACTGTTTACTTGATGCATGAATCTCCTCTGCTCTGTCCCCACCAAAGGCCTTCTAGCCTGTGCTTTCATGTCCCTGGGGTTGGAGAACTCACTCATGCTTGGGGTCATCCAATTTGTCTGGAATGAGCTGATTGGAAAATATACTATATTTTGAGTTGAAACTTGCTTCAGGTGTCTTCTGCTCATTGGTTTTCATTTTCTCCCTTGAGGTCACACAGAAATCTGATCAGCTATCCCCATAATTAGAGTTTCCATATTGCTCTTATGCTCTGATGTCATACCACACACTTAGACTATCATACACTTGATGTTTTTTCTTTCAACTCATTGTAACTTAAACACCTATTTTAATCTCAAAACTGAGAAATAATATCTGTGAAATCAAAGGTTTGATGTGTTAGTTTTATATTTTTTCTAATTACATTAGCAATGTACCATTAATTATGTGTATTATTTATATTAATGGATTATTAATTAACATTATTATCCATGTATCAATGGTGGTATAGCCACCCCATTTGGGGAAACACCATACATGTTCTTTCTCTATATACAGTATATGAAAATAACAATCACAGCCTTCATTAGAACAAACATCCCCAGTCCTTTCAATTGTATATCATTATGCAAAATTAATTTTCTACTCTGGTTATTTGCCTCCAATTTATCTGCGTGCCCATTTAGGTTTGGGGGGCCAGTCTCAAATACAACTCTCTAATTATATATGCCCTGACTTTATGAGTACAATCTGTGTTTTCATTTGCTTTCTTGGCAGTCAAACTGCTGTGTGTATTTCTAAAGAATTCACTCGGTTTTAACATTCTTAAGGCTTTTTTCATCTGTACCAGTGTTATATCATCATTTATCATCTTATTCATTCTTTTGAGCTTTTTCCTCTGGTAGATAATGTTCCTTTTTTTACACTTTATTGAGATATAATTGACATATAACATTGTGTAAGTTTAAGGTATACAATGTGTTGATTTGATATACTCAGATGTTGCAAAATGATTGCCTCAGTAGTGTTAAATAATACCTCCATCACTTCACATAATTATGATTCCTTTTTTGTGGTGATAACATCTAAGATCCACTCTCTCAGCAACTTTCAAGTATGTGATACACTATTATTAACTATAATCATCATGCTGTACATTAGACCCCCAGATCTTATTCATCTTATAATTGGAAATTTGTACCCTTTGACCAACATCTCTCCATTTCCCCCACCCCCCAGCCCCTGGCAACCACCATTCTACACTCTGTTTCTATTAGTTTGGCTTTTTAAAATTCTACATATAAGTGAGATCATATAGTATTTGTCTTTCTCTGTCTGACTTATTTCACTTGGTATAATTCCAAATTCAAAGAGACTCAAATAAGTGGAAAGTATCCCATGTTCATGGATCAGAAGAATTAATATTGTTAAAATGTCCACACTACCCAAAACCATACATAGGTTCAATGCAATTCCTATCAAAATCCCAATGGCATTTTTCTCAGAAATAAGAAAAAGAATTCTTAAGTTTGTATGAAACCACAAAAGACCTTGAACAGACAAAGCAATCATGAGAAAGAAGAACAAAGCTGGAGGCATCACACTTCCTGATGTCAAATTATACTACAGAGCTATAGTAATCAAAACAGTATGGAGGAACAAAAATAGACACATAGACCAATGGAACAGAATTGAGAGCCCAGAAGTAAAACTTTCCCATATACAGTCAACCAATACTTGACAAGGGAACCAAGAATACTCAGTGGGGAAAGGAGAGTTTCTTCAATAAATGGTGCTGGGAAAATAGGATAATCACATGCAGAAGAATAAAACTAGACCCTTGTCTTACACCACTCACAAAAATTAACTCAAAATGGGTGAAAGACTTAAATATAAGACCTGAAATTGTAAACCTCAAGAAGAAAACATAGGGAAACATCTCCTTGATATGACACCAAAACCCCAAGCAACAAAAGCAAAAATAAACAAGTGGGACAGCATCAAAATAAAAAGCTCTGCACAGAAAAAGAAGCAATCAACAAAATGAAAGGCAACATATGGAATAGAAGAAAATATTTGCAAATCATATATCTGATAAGGAGTTAACACCCGAAATATATGTAAGGAGCTCATGTAACTCAATAGCAAATAAAACCAAATAATCCTATTAAAAAATGGATGAGGGGCCTGAATAGACATTTTTCCAAAGAAGACATATAAGTGGTCAATAAAACCATGAAAAGGTGCTTAACATCACTAATCATCAAGGATATGAGATTCAAAATCATAATGAGATATTATCTCACACCTATTAGAATGGCCATCAGCAAAAAGACAAGAGATAACAAATACTGGCAAGGGTGTGAGGAAATGGGAACCCATGTTCAATGTTTGTGGGAATGTAAACTGGTACAGCCACTTTGGAAAACAGTATGGAAGTTCTCCCCAAAATTAAAAATAGAACTACTATTTGATCCAGCAATACCATTTCTTGGTGTATATCCAAAGGAAATGAAATTAGGATCTTGAAGAGGTATCTATACAACCATATTCATTGCAGCATTATTCCCAGTAGCCAAGATATGGAAACAACGTAAGTGTACACCAAAGGATGAATGGATAAAGGAGATGCAGTATATATATATGCAGCGGAATATGATTCAGCCATGAGAAAATCCTGCCATTTGCAGCAACATGGATGGACATTTTTCATTCTGTTGTAACCAAGTAGAAGAGCTTGCAGTGATCCTTACTATATTTCATCTTGGCCTATCAATTTAACCTGCAAAGGTGCTTGTTGATTCTATTTTGTTACCTAAAATATTCATTCTCTCTCCGAGCCTCTAGCTATCTATAGATTTGACAAACATGCATTCTGTATCTTCATCCAAATCATTGACAGGCAAGTGGTTCTAGAAACTTGCTTCCAGGTTGGTATTAATCCTTCAATCATCTTGCTTTGGGAACTAGTTTGTATAATCTTATGAATGTTTCTTCATTATTAAGACTCAAATGAGTTTTATCATTGAACATGGCCTAAGTAACACTCTGGTAATTATTTCTGACATACTTAAATACTTCTCTGTATGGACATATTTGAGTTTTATGATTATTAAAGATTGCTTTAAAGATAACTCACCTCTGAAAGTTATAATGAGGTTTATTGAGTACTTAGTTGTCCACTCATTGTAGCAAACACTTGACATATACTGAGTACTTTTAATATAATCAACTCATAATGGTAGGTATTACTGTCCTTAAGACACAGGTGAGGAGCTCCTGAAAGGTAATAAAACCGTCAATGTAAGCCAGCTAGTAGGTGGAGGGGCTAAGATTCAAACTCACGTCTGTCTGATATCAAAGCACAATCCATTTCCATTCGAAGGTAGTAGGCTCAGAGTGAAAAATGGATTTGGACAGATGGACATGTCTGCTTCGGAGTTTGCTAGGTAGAGTGCCTGCATTTGCAAAGCTGATAAGTAACAGTTGTCTTAGAAAAATATCAAATCCTCTGCTGAGGGCTTCGATTTGGAAATGTTGAAAACCTTAGTCACATAATCTCCACAGAAGAGAGACTCATGTAGAAGTGAAGATGAGGCATACTCTGATCTTGTGAGGAGTCTCAGTGTGGAAGCTAAGAGCGGACAGCAGCATCAGGAGGGGTGCACGCTTTACTTTTGCACGTTAGAGCGATCATTTTAAAGGC